CCTCTCTCTCCTCCTTCTCCTTCTTCTGTCATAGTGAAAGTCATCCTGTATTATAACCCTCTCTCTTGTCTCCACTAGTCACAAAGGTTTTCAAAGATCATGTCAATTTGTTTTATATTTTGCGTTTTCTTTATTTTTTAATATTATGGCATGGCATAATTTGCATTTCAAATTTATTGTGTTGTAGAATCAATCATCTGAGTTTCCAATATTTGTTATGCAGAAATTTGCTCTGATATACAAATACTTTGGGCTAAGTATGTATACAAAGTGAATTATGAAAAAAAATGCTACAATTTTGAGGGCTTGCAGATTAGCTCAGTTGTTTAAAGCGCCTGCTTGGACAAACTCAGGTGTAGAGGACCATGGTTTGATACCCAGCTCTGCAAGCTGCACCAGACCCGCCCTTAAGGCAACCTGAGCTAGCAAAAAGAAAAGTCTTCTACAAAGTGAGTTATGTTTGCAAACCAAGGTGTTCCTGATGCAATATTTAATTTTGCCTTTTTTTAATATCAGGACTATTATCATATGGAAAGTTATAGTTTCACTATAGAAGTTTTCATTTTCATGATCATCTTGCAGTGACTTGTTTTTAGTAGTTATCTATCAATCATCATAAAAAAACTGTTGTGAGTCCCCTACTGCCTAAGAATTAACTCAAAAAAAGATAATGAATTATATATAATAGTGAATTAATCTCTTTAGAAAGTAGAAAGGATGATTTGATGTGTCAGCAAGAATATTTGCAAAGGAACTTTTGGCAGGGTTGAAAAATGTTTTTGGAGAATAATTTCTATTTTTTAATTTTTTTTCCATAATTTTATTGACAGACAAATAGCAATGAGACAGTTTCAAATCAAATTGGTAGGACAGTTTTGATAATTAACACATTGCATACTGTCTTCCTAGTGGTTATTTGCTGTACAAGATGCAGACATGATATCCTATTTACAAACACTATTAGAACAAACTATAACTATATATCTATCCTAACCATTTTGAATACACAGATACAAAATGGACATTCATTTATATATCCCCTTTTTTGTTTAGTTCTGTCATTTGAATTTTTTTTTTTAACATTTTTATTTAGTGTGTGTGTGTGTGTGTGTGGCCGGCTCAGCCCACCAGGGGGCGCGGCTGGCTGGCATGTGGTGCTGGGGGATCGAACCGCGGTCCCTGATGTTTTGCCAAGCTTGTTCCAAGTAGGTGCCCTAGACCACCGAGCCATCTCTCCAACCCCTGTCATTTGAATTTTATAGGTGTGTTAACTCAGCAAAATATTCTAAAAGAATCCAGTAGTCCATAATAGTATTGGGTCTTCCTCTTGACTGGCATTGTCAGAAATAGTTGACCTGAGTCCCCTACAGCTCAACATAACAGCATGGCTTTACTTCTTATACTTCATTTTTATACTTTTCTCCTGGATGGTTAAGACCAAGATAAAGCAAGACCTATGCAACCAAAGTTGTAGCCTTTGGATCTGATAAGATCAGTCAAATCCCCTCAGAATTTATCCTGAGATCCTGTACCTCAGATTGTAGATCCTTTGTCAGTGTCAGCTATGTGGATGAGTCATGGCCATTGCTTGGCCAATAATTTCTATTCTTTAGGTTAAAACAGGGCTGGCGAGATAGCTCAGTGGCATAAGTGCCTGCCTGGCAAATGCAAGATCTTAAGTTTGATCTCCAGTACTGGGAAAAAAAAAATCCAATACATTAAACAACAGTCTGTTGTATTCTGTTTCTTAATGTTATGAAACCATTTGGGCTTTGAAATCATTTTTTACCTAAGACTCCTAAATCAGTTTACTACAAAAAGAAAATGAGTAGGTTTTGAGATTTAGTTGTGTTGTGTTTTACAAAATTTAGAGATAAATTTATACAATATCCTTGCCATCAGTAAAGAAAATTGGTGATTGAAAAAACTGGTACGAATACCTTCAACCACATAAACCTCATGCAGGCTCTCAGTGTTAGCCTATTTGACTTACATCTGTCTCCACTTCCTAACATTCTTCCTAACACTGCTATTTTATTTATTTTTTATTTTTTAAATATTTATTTATTTATTTATTTTGTGTGTGTGTGACCAGCCCAGCCCACCAGGGGGCGGGGC